CCTCAACTCATTCCATTGGATTATATTGATCATATTTATATGCCACAAAATATATTCGATTCTCTTAATCAATCAACACGGACATCAATCAAAGCAGTTTTTGAAAACCGTATCACCATCACTCAACATGAAAGCGTAGACAAACCTGATGGTGTATTTGGTCCTACGCCTCCAACACAAGCACGAGCCGATTATCAAGATTTTGTTGTCAAGGAATTAATCCAACGATTTGGCAATCGTGACGAGAAGTCTCAGCCAAGGCCTGTTGAAGGTATCGTCGTTACTATCCCGTCAACCAGCTTTACTGAACATTCAGTTTTGCCTTTGAGAATTTCTCAAGCTTACAAGCAATATTGCCGTGATCATAAAACATCATCTGTTGACAAAACTATTTTTATCTATTGGCAAGTAATGAATGGAGATATGATGTTGACATTATCCAACGAACACATCGATTTACATCAGGAAAAACCAAATTTCAGTTGCTTAATATGTTACATCGCCGAAACGCCAGAATCAAAGAATACTCAGTATCACGAACAGCCATCGTATTTGAATATTGGTTCTCCGTTTCAACATGACTTAGTCATGAAAAAGCATACATATGCTGCTAGTTCAAATCGATTCTATGTCGGATGTAATACTGGAGATTTTTTAACATTGTGTCTCGAGATTCAACTATCAACTGGAAAAGTTATTCTGTCGCATGCTGGTTCAAATTCAATTTATAATCGGACAACTATTACTTATAAATCTGATAAATCACAACTTAATTTAGCCGCCTTGGAATTTCTTCATGTAAGCGCTGGTACTCGCATAGTGCCAATTCGAAATTTAATGATCTGTTTCGAGAAACAACCTGATTTACATCCAACAGCTGATACACAATTTAGCAAAACGTCGAGCGCGCTCGATGAAATGGGCGTTTTATTACCATTAAAGTCAATGACATCTTTGATTCCATGTCCTAACAATGTCAATTGTCTTCTTCAGCTATCAGATAATGCCAGCACGCACAATGCCAAATATTCGCATCCTTGTCGCTTCTCTGAGCTCTGTCGAAATCGTGAAGCGCACTTAACACATGAATCACATCGAGTGCCTTTCTGTAAACATGACGAGAAGTGTAACAAACTAAT